TGTGCTCGGCCTGTGCTCGGCCTGTGCTCGGCCTGTGCTCGGCCTGTGCTCGGCCTGTGCTCGGCCTGTGCTCGGCCTGTGCTCGGCCTGTGCTCAGCCGCTCTGGGAGCGGAGGGGAATCTGCTGCAGCAGGGGGCGCCTTTCCTTGTCCAGAGGCTGACGGGCCGGATGGACACGGCCAAGGCTGCCGCCAGCCTTCTGCGATGGAAACCCATGGCCCTGGATTTGTGAGAACTGTAAGGCCACCTGATGGTTATGATGTCAACTGCTAGTTCTTCGTCAGATTTGTCCTTTTTAGTCGGGGAAAGTGAAGAGGAGGAAAAGGAAGCAATCCTCATCGGTATCAAGAGCATTATTAAAAATAGCATCAGGGCGCTGTCCGGGTGCACAGCTGGCTGTAAATTGGAGTTCAGTTACCATCCTCAGCGTTCAAACTGCTAGTTGGCTGTGTAAGCTCTCTCTCAGACTTAAGTAGCAAAATCGGTGTAGGACCTTCAGGCTTGCTTTTGACTGTCTACTCCTACAAGTACAAATGGTCAATAAACACATGAAAAGTTTTAACAGTGCGGGCTATTAGAGAAATGCAAATTAAAACGACACTGAGATTCCATCTTATCCCAGAAAGAATGGCCATCATAACAAATTAGCAGAGCCAGGGATTTAACTCGGTGCTTCCATCACCTGCCTCGAAAGGGTAAGGTCCTGTGTTCGATTCCTGGTACCAAAAAAACCCCCAAAATAACAAATGTCGAGAGACTGTGGAGAAAAAAAAACTTTATTTTGATGGGAATGTAAACTAGTACAACCACTATGTAAATCAGTATGGAGATTCTTCAAATTCAAAAAGCTAAAAATAGAAATTCATTCAAGCCAGCTATTCACCTGGTGGGTTATCTTCTAGAAAGAGTTAAGATATATTACAGTGATAATGTACACCCATGTTTTCATGGCAGTACAACTAATAGCTAAATTTTGGAAACATCCTATGTTCATCAACATTTGGATAAAAAAATGGTATTTACACAAAATTGAGCCCTATTGAGCCATAAATATAAACTTAAGTTATTTGTAGGAAATAGAGGCACCTAGAGACCATAATAAATCAGATACACAAGTTTAAATATTGCAAGATTTCTCTTACATGAGAAACATATAAA